CATGAAAAAATAAATAATAATAATAATAATAATAATAATACTGTTTCCAGATCAAAATAGTATTATACCGGCTCTTTTATTTGTTAATTTGTTAACTTGTTAATTTTATATAACGGTAGCAATTTTTGCCACCTTGGAATATTGGTACAAAATTATCATATAATCAATGGTTTAAAAGAGTGCATATTAGTAACTAAGTATTAAATATTAGTAAATTTTGAAAGGGTTCCACACAAGTGACAGCTTTTGTACCTTTTTCGTTTTTTCTGAGAGTGTATAATAATTTTGTTTTGTAAATTTAAAAGCTGTCACAGTAACTTTGGATATTGAATGGTAATGCATGACAAACAGTAAACAAACAGGACAATTTCCTTCGTTATGGAAGTTAATTATGGTTTCTTTTTTTATGCAACGGAAATCATGCCACAGGACAGCAAGATACAATAACATAAGAAGCTTTAGGGAAAGTGCCAGACATCCGCCTGCTTCCTACATGTTGAGTCTTGAGCCAAACACCTGTGCTTCTATTGGAGTGAGTGATTCAGTTTTAGGGCCGATCTTTTCTGAATGGAAACTACTTTCAGTGCTTTCACTGGTGCTTGATAAGAGAAATCCTGCTTGATAAGAGATGTAAAAGCAAAACACATGTTTAGAGGGAAAGACTACTCTTGATGCAACATTTGTCTCGATATTGCATTTCTGCACACTTCCACCTAATTCAGCAGATACCAAATGGGTAATTCAACATCTCTGTCTGAAGGACAGACAGAGCTAAACCAAACATGTGAGAAATGTTATTTGGAACATACACAGCTCATGTAGATTAGAAAATTTAAATCCATGCAAGTTCCACTCAGCAGTAGGTCAACAAGGCAACAAAACAGGCACACTCAGCGCCCGACACAAAGTCAACACTCTAAATTTAGCCTTGGACATTTAGAGCTGTCCTCAATGAGATGAGAAATAGAGCTTTTATGAGCGCAAATGAATGGCTGACACATCAAACTATTGGCAGGCAGAGACTGTATGTGGAGTAATTTTAGGATGTAGCAGCTTTTAGATGGAGTTAATTTACATGAATTATTTGTGTTTAAAAGCCACTTTATTGGGTGTATAATGGTAGACATTTCCCCATCTGAGAAAAAAAGAGTAATGATTTGATGTAGAGTAAAGGTTCCAATACAGTTCTTCAAAAATGCTGTGCCAGCCTTATGTTAATATACAGTGTAAATTTGTATTGCATTTAAAATGTTGGGATGTAACATGCCTGTGAATGTGAGATGGTATTCATATTTTAGACATGAATAAAATCTTTTGGATTCCAGCTTGGGCTTCCAGCCAGGGACTGTGGAATCTATGCAAGTATATAGATAATCAACAAGCAAACAAATGCTTTCGTCACTTAGATGACAAATTAGGCCATTTTATTATGCATATTTTGGTTACAGTTTATCTCTCTACAGTTTCAGTAAATTGTACAGAAATCCCCACACACTCTGTTCCTCATCCAACACCCAAATCTACAGAATAAACTAACTAATAGGGTTATAGGCATATGCTAGCATTCGCTAAGTATTTACACATTTTTAACCTTAATAGTCATGGTGTGTATTGAGGATGTGTCCATACCATTCCACAGTAAAGCAAAATCACCTCAATTATTTTACACTCTCAATACAACAGTAAATGTCTGGCACTGTATAATGCAAGGTCGTTTTTTTGTAGTTAAACTTAGAGAATGTATCTTATAAATAATGTTTCCAATAAAGGATATTATACTATGTATTGATCAAGTGGCATTCCATTTCCACTGGGTTGTTTCACTGCATCGCCTCTGTGTTTGTGGACTTCTAGTTCAATTTCTAGTTCAAAATCCTCTGTTCAATTTCCAAGTCGAATGATATTTTCAACAGCATATGTAGGCCACCTTGCTGAAATTACCAGACACTAATAGCAATGTTTCCTGAGAATGACCCAGCTCTGAAATCAATAGAACTAATTAACAAACTGTTTGTTAAAGACTGGTTGACTGGTTTTATAGACAGCATTCAATTGGGTATTGGTTTCAGCCTCAATCCCCATTCTTTTCTTCATTGATAATGACCACAGACCTGCTATGGAGAGTCAAAAGAACTTAAATAACAAAGCCAGCAAAATAAATAAGTTATTGAGAGGATGATAGTGAGGGGCCGGCCTGCCAGAGTAACTATATAGTCATTAGACTATTTAGTGCCACTGCTTCTGGCTGGAGTGGCTCTCAATCCACCTCTCATCTGTTCAGCTTATACAGCAGTGGTGATCTATAAGGCTGCAGGTGTAAAACACTCAAGTGACAGCTCTCTTTTTTAATGATGCTGTGGCTAATGGATGAAAGTGCAGGGATCTCCATGGCAATTCAGGCAAACAAATCTCTTGGGAGAGAGGTGCTCAGTGAGGGTGCATTAACAGGATTCAGACACTACCGCAACACTTTAAACGATCAGCCAATCAAGGCCTCTAATGCTCGGTTCTACTTCACTGACTGCGTAGACGCCCGACATTACATTCAAATTCTGAAAGAAATGGCGGGGGCAGCGGTGGTGGTGATGGGGGAATAAAATTAGCCTTCCTTTAAATCCTTTTCAATAAGGCAGAAGGTGCACTTAAGTCCAGGGTTATTGAAAGTTGAAGAGGCAGAATCAGATATTTCATTCCTTGATTCTTCACCTGACTTATTATGAAGAAATAATTTAATAATGTGGATAGAGTGGATTACATTGAGTCCTAATGTCCTGAAAGCACATCAAAGACATTTTCAAAGTCCCTGTCAAGTAATCTGCTTTAGAAACTATTTGCTGTAAAATACATTGAAATGTCCAGTATTTAGTGTGTCATTTATGCACCGCAGAGAAGCAGCGTGCAATGTAATCACAAAATATCCTCCACTAAATGAGTGTTCTGTAAATAAAATGCTGGGTGCTATTGATGAAATGAAAAGTACATTTACTGTTGTGTGCAAGAAATAAAATGATTAGTCAGGTTGCAACTGGCAACACAGAACCACAGTGTTTACTCTTTTTGGAGCAATCAACCTAAGAATGGCTTATGCATATGAAGCTGGGATAGGAGACAGTATTTTAACTTCAAAAAATTACACAGTTCACCTGTAGTGAAATGTGTATTATTTGATGTTCCAGGTTTAAAGATGTATGAACAAATTTGTGTTGAAATCATAGGTCAGTTTGCTAAATGTTTACATAGATTTTGGTATTCATCAGTCATTCAGTTATTGCTCTGTTACAGTAAAAGAAACAGTTCATCCAAAAATGGAAATTCTGTTCTCATGTAATTTCAAACATTTTCAGCTTGGAATATAGTGTACATTCTTTTAGACTGTTTGGTGTCACTTTACAATAAGACTCCACTAGACTAAGATAAATGCTTTAGAAGTATTTTTCACTGTTAGTATATGTTAACTAACTGCATGAGTTAGCATGAACTAACAGTTACAATACTTCTAAAGCATGTATTAATCTTATTTAATTTTAAATTTTTTACTAATACATTATTCAAATTTTTACAATTAGCCTACTGTTACAAAACTAACATTAACAAAGATTAAAGGTGCAATAGGTGATTGTCTTCAGAAACATTTTTTGTTATGCTTGTTGAAAGTCTCTTCACATCCCGATAGCAATCATTAAGTTAAGTGGTCTAAATGTATTTATATGTATTTATATATTCTGTGGAAGCGTAGGACCAAGAAATGTTCGTCCAATCAAAACGCTCGGTCCGAGTGTTTTAATTGGCTTTCCTACCTGCCTGTCAAATATTTATTTGCATACCTCTGCGCACCCTGTTCGCGCAGACACGATACGTCATCAGCGCGTTCACGTACGCTGTTGCAGACAAAGCGAGAATGGCAGGCAAACATCAACAACCTGATCTTCCTTACTGGTAATGTAGTACTTTTACTAACTGTACTATAAAGTTTTCTCACCGATGAATGACACATGATGTATTGTAGTAATGTTGTCTCTGGTATTCTGGTCTGTGAGAGTATATGCATTCAGGGGGCGTGGCTTTGGACGCCGATTGCAGGGAGGATTGGACGTTCGCTTTCAGTGCTATCAGGCTAAAGTTAGCATTTTCCGAGATCTCCTACTGCACCTTTAATAAATACTGTAACAAATGTATTGCTAATTGTAAGTTAATGCACGTATCGGAAACGTGTTTATACCGATGTTTGTTTGTATATTTTTATTTCTGCAGCTATTCTTTTAAAAAGTACAGCATCAACTTTTTGCAAAGCATCTTCTTCTTCATCAAAATAAAGCAAGTCAGCTTTCAAACCACTTTAGGGAGATAAAAACAATAACAAAGCAAAATAAAAGGCAATATTTTTGGATACTATTATAAAGGAGGTGACAGATACCAGCTGTTCCAAACTGATTTCTCTATTCCCCCCCCCCCCCTTCTACATTGATAATTCTCAATAATGTTTGTTCTGTGTTCAATAGTTTTACTATTCTAAATAATTACTTAACTAATTACGTTTTTATGCTGCAAGAGGATTATTGGCATTACTGGCCTATCAGTTAGCAACCATGCATGGGAAAAATCTAAATAAAGCATGTATGAACACTGAAACAAGGAATTAGTGTACGTAAGTCTGAACATCTATGTATCACCTTTGTTAAGTTAAACATGCATTGTAACATAAGCTCAGTAAACAGGTATTATGGCAAACAACACAACTGTGTGACTTGAATAACTCCTAATTAGCCACGTAGGAGGAACTGTCCGCTACATCGCCATATGGCTTGGAGAAATGAATATTTGCTAACATTTCCTTGGCAAATAAATATGTACAGCTTGTCATGCCATTAGAGGGAGAGAGATATTTTAACATGCACTTGAGGTTGTCATCCATACCAGATTGTGCTTGTAGTAACAACAACCAGAAAGAGTCTGTTCACTGCATATGAAGCCACCACAGGAACAGACTTTTGAACTACGCTAACCTACTTCATTGGTACTGCATATATGGTTTATCTCTCTCTCTATATATATATACAAGCTTAACATCTCAAATTATATGAGGGCCCTTTTGACAGCAGCTGAAAAACACAAGTTTTTCTATGTGAAACAATCAGAGTTCATCTTTCGGAGTTTGGGGGGCAGATGTCCATCCATGCGGCCTCCTCCCCCAGCCAGTCTTTGCAGTTTCGGTGGAAAGTCCGCAACCGATTTACTGATGGCCTCTGTGGCAATCTTAGTTGTCTTGGAGACCTGCTTTTCCTCCGAGACCCCAGGCACAGAACTGATGCGTTGGAGCTTCATGGGCAGTTCGCCAAGGCTGTATGTCATTTCTGATGTGGTGGAGCTCATTCTCAGGAGTTTCCTGGGCAGCCCGTCTCTACCTGTCATCTTCTGCACCTTGGCTGGTAATTTGGTCGTGCTCTCCTGATCCTCCAGCAGTTCCAGGCAGTCCAGGGAGCTGTTCTTCTCTCCGCTGTTGCACAGAGATGGGGCCATGAGTGGAGAGGACATGAGTAAGGCCTCGTCCTGCTCTTTCGCACTGTAGGGAGGTGTGGGAACCTCAAATGTGGCGTGGAACTGAGAATAATCCACTTTAAAGAAACCCTCCTCCAGAGAGATGACCGGGAAGAATCTGTGGCCCCACAGCACCTCGTCCTCTGTGTACGACGTCCGCGCTTGACAAGTCATGCCTATCGGAGAAAATACATGAAAAGGAACAGATGGAGGAATGAATGAAGCGTTCAAAGATTAATCAAGCTAATGCAATTGGGAAAAGCATTGCTGCACTCTGAAGAGTACCATACTTCTTTATTACTATCATTTATTATTATTATCATACTTCATCATGATTATTTATTAGTACAGTGCAACACAGTAATGATGTTCTCAAACATTATTTTTTTTTTTTCTTCTAAACTCCTAGCCCTAAGTATTAAACATGAATTCAGTCTGAACCAATAAAATTAAACATTATATGCTTGACCCTAGGCTGAAGATACAGTAATCGGTTTATCCCTAACCTTTAATCTTTAACATTCTGACTTAAATAAAATGAATGCTACAGAAAGTGCATAATATAAATCACTATTCTGTTTGTGCTGTTGCATCCTTTTTTCCATACACTAAACTTCAGTGGTTGTGTATGGCCAGCTAATAACTCATAATAAATGTAGTAATAATTTGCTTAGCAAAATAAGATGATTTCTTAAATCTATTTGCATACTGAATTGTGATTTGTTTTTTCATCCAAATGATGTTGTTTTGCCTACAAAATTAGAAAAGTATCAGTCAAATAATCACAAGTTAAGAGAGCTTTCACATCCAATTTAACGGCTATGAAACTGCCATACAAAGTTAACAAAGGAACAAGAAAACAAAAAAACATGCACTGTGAAATTACTAGACCATTTTTAAGATAACATTTTCAAGACATATGTTTTCCTCTACACCAGTGCTCACACAGAGTTTGAGTTACAAACAGATCATGATAGATTTGAGCATGGTCTAGAGTTCTGACATTACAATATTGCAATGACAACACTCTAGTCCAGTGGCTGTTTTTCGATCCAGAGACAGAGAGAACTTTGTCCACACTGATAGCACATTCATAGCCAATTAAAAAATTTCCATCCATCCATCCATTCTCCAAACTGCTTAGAATCACTTGCTGTGAGGAAACGAGGGGCAACCCATTTACATGATCAAGGACGTGTAACGATGCCTTCGTGCCTTAGTCATGTGGAGAAACCTTGGTTCTTGTCCCAGGGTCCTGTGTTGGGAGCTCCTTGTCGTCGGGGGTCTGGGGTCATGCCTGCTTTACAAACCGGCACACCAGATCCTCCTGTGGGCCCAGGGAAAGCTGCTCTCCCTGAGGGCATGCAGTCTACATTCCTGGGTACCTCAACCAGGGTGCAGACATCTTGTTTAGGCAGGGGCCAAAGCCCAGGGAATGGAGGCTCCACCACCTCCAGATTTGGAGGGTGTTCAGTCAAGCTCAGGTGGACTTGTTTGCGTCTCGACAGACCTCACATTGTCCACTCTGGTTCTCCCCTCACACATTCAGCTACTCTGGGACTAGACGCTATGGTGCAGATGTGGCAGAGGCTGCATCTGTACACCTTTCCCCCGATTGCTCTGCTCCCAGGAGTTCTGGAGAGAGTCAGCCGGGATGGGGCTCATTTGCTGCTAGTTGCCCTGTTCTGGTTGTGAAAACTGTGGGTGTGGCCTCTGAGTGGTCCCTCTTTATAGATTCCAGTCTCTCAATTGAGGTTGCTGAGACCATACTCCACTCCAGAGGTCCCACCACAAGGAAACTCTTTGAAGTAGGCCCCGTTCATTTCTTGGCTCGGTTGCCATCAGCTGGACCCAGTTAACTGCCAGGTTGGTTCAGTCCTAGAGTTGCTGCAGGAGGGGTTCTCCACAGAGTTGATTCCCTCTACCTTAAAAGTGTATGTGGCAGCCATAGCTTCTTACCACGCCCCTTTAGGTGATAAGTCTTTAGGGAGGAAGCCGTTGGTGACACATTTCTTCCGTGGTGCTTTGAGGCTGAAGCCTGCAACTCATACTAGAATCCTGGCCTGGGATTTGGCCGTTGTCCTAGAAAGACTGTGTAGAACTCCTTTTGAACCTATAGAGGAGGTTCCTGAAAATGTTTAACACTTAAAACAGTGTTTCCCTTAGCCATTTCATCTCTCAAGAGAGATGGTGATCATCTCTTTCTGTACCTGAGGCCTGGTTACGCGCCAAATGTGCCCACTAATGCTCCAAGGCCCATAGTGTTGCAGGTCCCCCCCCCTTTTAGAAGTTCAGACAAGGAAAAGCTTAATTTAATGTGTCCAGTCAGAGCACTGGATGCTTATGTCCACAGAGCTGCTCTGTGAAGGAAATCAGATGCTTTGGTCCACCTAAGAAAGGCTTTCCGGCAACCAAGCAGACATCAAGCAGGTGGATTGAGGTTACTGTATCTCCCTTGCTTATCAGTCCTCTGACCTCCTTTCAACTTTGAGGGTCAGAGCTCACTCAACTAGGAGTATGGCAAAGTCCCTGAGAACCTGACACATTGCATTTCTGGAGACTCCAGGTAGGTTGCAGTTTTGGAAATTGGTGGCGCTGGAGACTAAATGGTTCCTGATGGTTTCATACCTAATTCTTCACCTTAATTCTTAATTATTTTACAGTTAACATTTGTCTCTTCTTCTCTACCGTTTTTTTTTTCTTTTTTTTTTCTGACCGTGCTGACCCAGTGAGCATTTCGCTGTCCAATGGTCAAATTCTAGGATTGCATTAGTATTGCATCCTTCTCATGGACATTTAATTTTTGACTTTCAGTCTGAGTTAAATCTCTTTTTTGGCTCATTTTATCTGTAAAAGAAAACCTTCCTAATAATTATGCACACCTGAATATAAGGAGTTTTTCACTTCCAGCCTTCATGGACAATTATATATCACTTATAAATGATTAAATGCAAAATTAATAGTAGTTGTTAAGATTGATGTGGTTTGGAATTGGTCAATTGTGCTTGGAAAAAAATATGATCAGAATATCAACTTGCCTAACCTATGTAAAAATAATAGAAACAGCAATAGCTGCAAACACCGCTAATAATGTCAAACATAAGCAATAGGTTTTATGCAATCAAAACTACAATGCTGTGTTTCTATGGAAACCCAATCTTGCCATGTGTACATGCACAGCTCTTGCATCCAAAGCTGTTCTCTCGTACGCATATGTTAATGTCATTAATAAACAAAAGACAACTGATCTGAAATCAGCAGCGCAGCAGTCTGAGGGTTATAACACAATCAGTCACCACTATTTCCCCAAGTCATGAAGAGTGTTGGTTGTAAAAACAAACGCACTCCGGATGTTTCGCAGCCAGTATCATCCCATAAGACATGTGTGTGATTGTGTTCAGCTGGATGCAGGGCTGCATTGCAGTGGTGTAGAGTATATTGTGGGGAAACTCCTCTGTGCATCAAGCATACAGTAGAATAATTAAATGAACAACCATGTCAGCTCTGTGGATGACAGCAGAAAGAAAAGCAACCAAGTCATCTGAAGCCCTGTGCCTTGAGTTCTCCTCTGACCATTCAAATATGCTCAACATGATTTCATTTCTAAACCACCTGAGAGTTAAATTCAATAAACAACACAGTACGTAGCATGCAAATATCAATGTCAGTTCTTTGAAGGAAAATTGTACTTTATCAAAATAACTATAACTGATAAAGGAGACTTCCCATGCACTGATTTGAATAAACACCAAGTGAGGCTAAATAAATAAAGTAGTGTCTTTAGGTGCTAAGCAAATAAATTGAACAGTAAAATCAAACAGCAGAAGGCACCCTTGCCTGATATCATTAAAGGGGTCATATGATGCGATTTCAAGTTTTCCTTTCTTGAAACTTTCTCATCTGAGTTACCTCGGCGGTCCATCTCGTCAATGTCAAAATGACTGATATGGTCAGCCAAATCAAAGAGGGCAGTATTTACTGTTTACTGAAGCTGTTCACTGGTTCAGTGTTAACAGTCAAAAATAGATTTTGTGATGCAATACTGTATGTAAGTTTTCTTTATTTGTCTCTTTCTTTAACCCTGTCTTTTTGAGAAGAACCCCTAAACTCTGTGTATACAGAATCACCAAAGCAGAAATAACCAGGGAGGAAGAACTTACATTACTCAGGGTTCAAAGAGAGGCAGTGACTGGAAAGTGTTTGTAACATCTTTTAAATAACAGCTAGAAATGAAGGTGAGTGGAGCTGACACACACAAATCCAGTCCTTCACACCTGTAGACTAAAAGCAGAGGAGTCCCCCTGATAATGTGAGGTGAGACTTCAGTCTTTTGGGATTTGGACAGTATAAGGGTGAGAAAATTAAATTAAATAAAATAAATAAATAAAAATTAATCTCAGGCAGTATACTGTACTTCTCAGGCAGTGACCCAGCATGAATGCTAGCAAACACTCAGCATTTCCGCTGCAAACATACACAAGGACTGAGACTCAGGCTGATTCTTCTCTCTCCACTTGATTCATCCTTCCACTAAAACTATTTGATTGTGAGTAACACATATATGGCTTAACCATCAATAATATACGAATTTTCCCCAAGCCAAAATGTAAAAGCTCCCCATGATGAAAAGTGTGAAAATAACAGATGAAGATGAATGGATGAATGGTCTTTACATTTTCAGTGTTTTCACTCTCTGTTCCATCTCACCGTATAGCACATGCACACATGCAAATGAGGTCATGAGCCCAGGGTTGCCAAGTCCGTGGGTTTACCAGGGGTTGTTTTTTAGTCGATGGGTTAAAGCGATCTCTCCCTCACCCTGCTGGAATGCTATTTTGACAGAGGAGGACTCCCGTCAAAGGGAAAATCATGGGGAAAAAAAACACGAATGGGCTAGTTTTGAATTGCAATTGGGCTGGTTATGTTTCTCAAACCTGGCAACCCTGCATGAGCCTGTCCTCAGTCCCAGAGGTTTCAAGAGAAGTGTTGTAAATAAGAAAAAGAGCAAATTCATTTACAGGATACTGCACCAAAGCAATGATGTTACACAATAATACTGTTTCGATTGCAGTATTACATATTGCAAATGTGTATTTAAAGTAAATAAAGTCATGCATTCTTGCTGTCTTCTAATCTAATCAAAAACAGTTTACTTGTGATCTTTAAAACTGTAC